TAGTGCAAATGGATGACTTCGACGATTTATAAAAATGATCACAGTTAAAAAATAAGACACACGCGCAAAATATAAAAAAAATAAAACAAGTTTTTGGCGTGATTTGAACTCTGAAGTTTTACGCCGCGACGACAAGTCCCGGCGCTCCTACGTCTCCACTTTTTTTAAAATTTTTATTTAAAACTTTGTGATGCTATGTACATGTTAAAAACCACAAGTGAGGTGGCAGAGGCAGAGCACACCTCACATTCAATCTGTCCTCGGAGAGTATTGGGACCACGAACCGGTTACATCGATCCACATACAGAAGCGACTCCGGTGGGCACCATAAAAAGTCTCAGAAACTCGGCCAAGACAAACACTTTTGGAACGCCTTCCAGTCGTCATATCCTGCCCACTCTCTCGCACTGAGGACTGAAGAAACATACTGAAAGCCATAACAAAACGGCGCCAAGCAGGTTTCCCACCTACTGCCACCAGGAGGTGATCTGTCCTTGAGCGCCAGAGAGCATGGAGACCAAGGAGGGCTAGCGTCTCGAGACAGCTTCTGTTTGTGCCGTTGCCAAACTCCAAAAATTTACAGCTTTCTCATTCTGGGTAGAGCTGGACCTGAAGTGTTTGTCTTAGCTGGGCCCAGAACAATTGAGCATTTGTGCATTCAAAGACAACATGTCTCAGGTCTTCCTCGTAGGGGCATAGCGCACAATTCGTTGACCATGGCACAAAGAAGCCCTTTTTGTCCAGCCAGGTTTGGCGGGTGAAACCTCCTTATGAAACTTAAAGAAAAAGTCCTTTGTGCCGGTCTTAACAGGGTAGAACGAAAGCCTTTTAAAAACACTGGACGATGTGTCGCGAAGGTACACGCGGTACATGGGCACGGGGGTTAGGAGCTCCAGGGCATCCCAGTACAATCTCCGATGTTTCACCTTTGCCAGGTAGTCGTCCGAAAACATCGCGTGAAAGGTTTTCAATGCTCGCTCAATTTCTTTCTAGAATTGGAGCGTGCAAGCTCCCTCGGACCATTCATTAGGTACCGGCATCCACTGAGCTGTGCATTTTCCGCCATGCTTTTGAATGGCTTTCCGCAAATGCTCGTTGCGCTGACTGCGAACAAAATAAATCTCTGCACTTGGAGCTTCAATTCAACATTCACTAGACCGAGACCACCTTTCTCCCGGCACAGGAACGAATTGCTGCGCCGCATGCGCTTGAACTTAGAGTCCCATATGTACACCGCGCAGAACCGGTTCACTTTATGAACATCAATATTCTTACAAGGCATCGCTTGTGCCGCGTACCACACGGTAGGAAAAAATACCAAATTGCAGACCCTACTACGGTTAAAGAAAGACAAATATCTCCCATACCAGTCCCGTGCTTTGGCCTGCAAACTTTTCATATGGATACCTGAGTCCCCAGTCCTGAGGCACTCGGGGGCCAAACTTATGCCTAAATAGTTTGGCACTGCGCAACTCCATGAGATGCCCAGAAAGCTCTCGGGGCGAGCGTCCCTGGCTCCCAACCACCGCACCGGTCGATTTCTTTTCGTTCAGTCGAGCACCCGACACACTGCAGAAGTCCGAAACGTGCTTCAGCGCTGGTTACACCTCACTGCGTGAGGAGCACAACAGAGTTAAGTCGTCTGCGTATGCAAGTACCTTTAGCAGACTTGGCGCCCAGTTGAATCCTCTGATGGCACTGTCGTTGATGATGCGCCGGCCCAATGGTTCAAGATAGAATGAGAACAACACCGGCGACATAATGCAGCCCTGACGAACCGATGAGTGGATGGGGATAGGTTTGGTGAGGCCTCCAGCTCCCACTTCTCGACTACAGCAAAAGGCGAGTCTCAACGACGCTGGCGTAGGTATCTATAATTCACCTCTTTTATCCCGCCTGATTTTTCCTTTTGATTTGACACATATTTACCTTTCCTGTCCGTAACTTTTCCTACCACTCGTAAAGTATAAAGGGGCGGTTAATTCGACTTCAGTTTAAAGCCTCTGCGGTCAGTATCTGCGAGAGAAATTAAACTTTTGTACTCGAAGCGACACGGATTTCTCAGCCATTAGGCAGGGACGCTAGGTACTTCCTGTTCCCATGGAGCTGGTCACGTGACATGAAAATCCCTCTTGGCCACAGCCGCGGCCGCGGCCGCAAGATGAGCAAACCGCCCTTGGGAACAGAAGATTATCAAGTAGCGGCCTTTGTCTAGATCGACTTGGGTGTTAATAGATGCCGTGACGCGGTAGAGTGAGCTGCCGTCGCTGCTTCGGCAGGCTTCTTCTTGCGTCTTCTGTAGTCTTGCCAGTCTCCTTCTGAGTGACCGGTGTCCTTGACCCCGTCAATGGCTTCATACTGGCCATTTTCGGAGGCGTTCATGGTCACGCCTGTCGGATTTTGAAAGGTTTCGGTGATAGCCGTGTGTTCGCAGTTCTCACTCAGTGTTCGCGACCTCTTGCTGGCCTCACTGACGTCATCATGGATAGCCGCGCTCGGGTTCTTTTTTCGTGTCGCCCTTATCGCCGGTGGGCTACCTTTATATGTCCGTGGTCCGTTTCCCTCGCTTCCACAGCATTCAACCTCGGTCGCGTCTCTGGAAATTTTTGTGTTCTCTGTATTTCCTGCGATGAATATCACCTTGAGTCGTTCAAGGTTTTTCCATGGGTAGCCATCACTTCCACTTGGCCGGCGTTATAGCTTAGTGGTACCGTGCTTATTGACAGTCTTAGGTCTCGCGGTGCCGTACTCCTACCCGGAGTTAGGCCTACAGGTTAGGCTAAGCGGATCGCATTTGGGATTTGTACAAATTCGTGACAAAATTAGATGGCCCAGTGTCCGGTATTGAAAATGTTACCTGCCTGAGGTTGTATTGTTTTTAGTGTGGCCGATCTATGGAACGATGAGTGTAGCGCAGTCCAGACAAACAGCTGCTTCCCTCAAGCCGCTCAGATGGTGATACCCAACTAGCTTCACTTCGTCACCTCCTATCTTATGGTGCAGCATACGTGCATATTTTTTTCTATAGTTAGTGCAGCATACCTAATTCGCAGGCTACAGGTGCTAGCGGTTTGTACTTAGCCCAGAATACTTTGTCCACAGGAGAATGTCGGCGGCGATTCACAATTTTAGTCCAGACTACTTAGTCGATACGCGACCCTCCGTGGAAAGTCACGTTTTATCCAATATATCTAGTCCGTGGACTACCGTTGGCAGCGATTTATACTTCGTCCAGGGTACATAATCCGCGAGCAACCGTTGGAGGCGCGTTATGTGCTTACTCCGGCATGCTTTGTCCGCAGGTGACCGTCAGCTGCGGGTTATACTTGGTGGAGCATAATTTTATTTAAATCTCATCGCAGCCGACGCTACAATCCGACGGAGGCCATGAAGCAGTGCAAAAGGTGCCTAAACATGGCGCTCGTTTTGTTTTTACTTTGCAATCACGGGTTAAATGAATCACTCCAAGAAATATCACGAGCACTGCGCGTCTATTCTGCGGGATTGGTTTTGTCGGTTATATAAAAAGTACACAGATGATCAGCGCAGTGACGATGCACGTTTACCCCTCCTTGATTGACTCCATCTCATGTTGCGTTGGGTGCGGTCGAAGTTAAAGTGAAACAGAGTATACTCCAAGCCAGTGTTTAGAAACAAGCCCGCTTTGCGGACACCAGATGTGGGCATTGCGCGAGCGCAGAAACCAAATTTGGGAGGAGTGAAGCGTTTGCGCATGCGCACTACCGACAGCAGCACCCAGAGCCGTTTATACTGGGAGAGTTGGGCTTTCTTAAGGAGAATGAGACAGCCTGGCAACCACAGCAGCGTCGTCTGACAACCGGCAGATGTCTACTTCCGTCCGCCATTTCGGGGCTCTGATTCAAAGGAACTCCTTGCGATTTTTTGGGAATAAGGAAGACAAAGAAGTAACGCCATTTTTTGTTATCGCTAGATCTGCTGGGTCTAGCGGGCAACAAGCTCCGCCCCATTGACCAAACTCTCTCAGTATAAACGGCTCTGGCAGCACCACCACACCGGCGCCGCAGTGGCGCGACGTGAGTGAGTTGAGCTGGTCTATAGACTGTAGGCGCCTCTCGGCGCCGAGTGATACTTAATCTAGCACACTTAGTCATCAGGCGACGGCCGGCGCGGGCAGCTAATTAAAGACGAAGCATTGCTCCTCACGTGGGCTCACGATATCGCGTGATGATATTGTTCCAACTGATGGTGCAGCGGTCCTTTGACACCGGGACTTCAAAGAAAAGGCAATTGAAAGAGTAAAGGGTGCGATAAACCTCCTCTTTTCGCAATTCCTTCAGTTACAAGAGTATCCTTATCGAAGATCACTATGATTTCAGAACCGTACACGCACCCTGCCAAGAAAAAAAACCCATGGAAAACTCTTACTTAAAACATGCTCGTGACAGACTCTAGTTCCGAATAAACTTAAGCTGGTCTTATTGATTCGGATGAACCAGGAGATCGCGAGAGTGTTGTGTGTGCATCGCGTGGGAAACCGCCCAAAGCTCCAGCAACCAAGCACAGCAAATCACAACGCACGCAAAATGCACGCTTGTCAGATTCTGTGCTTTCTGGGCTTATCAGAATGACCAAGAAAAGTTTAATGGTTGTTGAGCGTCCGAAAACATACGAGTGAACTTAAAAACGTTACATTCGGCAGATATATTTGTCGTGCAGATATGGCGGGTCTCACCTCGCGTGTTGCTTTTAAATCACGAGAATTGCAAAGCTATTTCATATTTCTGCTGAACTTATTCTATCTGACCGACTTACAGCAACCAGATTTTCTTCAACTTTATTCCACAAAGATCGTAGGAACATTTATGACCGGGCCTGATAATTGGTCAATGTTTCAAAAGTAATGTTGGATATTAATAAAATGCTTTTGGCACTGCATTAACCATACCTGATCACAACAAATGTGATCGGTTATACTTTACTAATTTTTGTTGTATTATGCATGCGTTTACCACCGACAGGGGAGAATGTAGTGTTCCAGGACGAAATTGAAAGCTTTAAATTAGAAGCTGCCACTCTCAAGAAACAGGGAGTGAACATCATCGTAGCCATTACGCACTGCGGCTATCCAAGAGACCTGGAAATTATTAAACATGTGTTAGATGTGGACGTGATTATTGGAGGACACACAAATACATTTCTTTATACCGGTAAGCTTCACCAGTTTTTTGTATACTGAAAAAATACTCTAAAATACTCTATTTGAAATTCAGGTAGCAATCATCCACCGGAAAATGTTCCCGAAGGCAACTATCCCACAGTTGTGAAGAGAATGGACGGCACTCTAGGGCTCGTAGTTCAAGCTTACTGCTACGGAAAGTTCTTAGGATTTTTACAGGCTACATTTGACAAGAATGGTAGTGTCATTGCTGGTACAGGAAACCCAATTCTTCTCAACGCATCAGTTGCGGAAGGTACGTCATGAACAATTTAGGAAGTCTTAAATATTTTCACGACTGTAGACTCAAAACAGAAGCTGAAATTACGTGATAGAAATTTAGCGATGTTGCTGGGACGACGAAATAAAAAAAGTAAAATATCCAATTTTACTGTCATTTTTTTAATGACGTGAACTGTCTATACTGATGATCGCGCACTCAATCCATTCCCCGAAAATGACAGAAATTCGGAATTCCGAATGAATATATTTATAACCGTCCTTCTGGATTCTAGGTCGCTGCGAAGTGCAAGCTTTCTTACTTTGCCCTTATAGTTGTAAAAACCTAAGAATGTACCTAGAGATAGGGTTTTATACACTCTAGAGGCTGGTTTACAAAGACCTATTTTCTTGGGTTACGTTTCATTAGAAAAGCATAAGCACAAATTGCGAGGACATTTATGCATCATATTAACCGTGGCTACCAGTTCAATGGGATAGCCTGGCACGCAACATTCGAGAAACGAATGTTTTTGATTGCTTATATGTAACCTAAGAAAACGTGAGAAAACGGTCTTGCAGATGTCGGTATAGTGCACCCGTGTTGGAGCTGCACGCTGTTGGGGGCCACACAACAAACCATTCCAAGCGCCATTAATAAAATACCGGAGTAGACACAACAGTCTCTAACAGGAGTCCTTTCCGGCAATACATAACACTTCTTGGCACGAGGTTCGTCAACGAAAAACATCGGGCGACTGAAGGATTGCCACCCATGGCAAGCTTGAAGAGTTTGCCATCAGTAGCTTGGGACATCCTGTCCAGAGCAACTCAGTTCCTACTTCTAAGCTAACGGACAAGCTAAACATTCACGTGAGAGGGCGTTACAGCTGACACTTTGCGGAGCAAAGACTAGTGATGTCGTAGGAGCGTTGGCGGCACTGAGAGCTTCAAGAGAGGACATTCGACGAACTCGTGACGACACCGAAGAAACACTTCGATCTGCGACTATTGGAGGGGAAGTCTTGAGCAGTACAAAATTACAGCGAAGAAAACAGCTGGCGGAGAAGTCGACATCAAACTACGTCGCAGCTTTGAAAAAGCTGGCCGGAGGCTTCAATTTTGGACTTCTGCCAGCACTGCCGGTAGCAGCTACGGCTAGTCTCAGCACTCCCGGTTCCGCTCTGGAGGCACGAGAACTTATAGAGGATCGAGAATTGAACTCAACGCTGCTATCTATGCAGGTAATCTTAAGCGATTGATGTTCTTTGCGGCCCGCGAGACGAACACGTACAGCAATGGCGGTTCAGGGAAGTCAACGTAACTCTTGGGAAGGCGCAAGTCACGGAACTTCGAACGTAGACAGCCGATCAGCACCAAAAGTATTCGAAAGGAGAGAAGTCAGGTGCATACAATATTGGGAAAAGAAAGACATGCATTTAGACTGAGAGGGAATTCGGAGTGAAGAACACTTGAATCAAGATGTTATAGATGCCTGAAAAAGTTACTGCTACCTACTGCAGCTTATGCAACTCCAGATACAAAATCCGCACCAAAACGTAATCATAAAAAAAAAAAAACGATTTTATCAGAAAACAGGAAAGAAGCAAGATCCGAGTACTTCATAAAATATCAATAACGAACTGTGACCATCTGATTTCGATGACGGGCTCCTTAAAACTTCAGATCTATACGATATCAATCGATCTATACTGCAAACATTAAGAAGTATACCCGCGTTCATAATCACAACCAATATTGTTAATCAAGCGTTTGAGTTTAAATATACTTGGGAGCAGCCTGTATTCTCCAGATCGAAGATGTCTTTCGTCATCTACGAATACATAAACGGATAAAACACAGAGGACGGCGACGGAAACAAAAGTTCCTGCTAAGTTAAAGCTGTTTCCGTCCTCGTCCTCTATCTCAGTTTAAAACAGCTCGACAAGACAACGACATAGAAAAGAATAAACAGACGACAGCGCTGACGACATGTTTTATCCTTACATGTACACGTATCAATTCACCAACACGGTCGTTTTCAATTCTTACTTTCGCCAGATACGTCCAAAAGATTTTCCGAGGCTAAACCCGGACGATGTGATGTTATGTACCTGGCCAGGTGGAGGAGTTTAAGTGGTCGGTAAGGGAAATGTACATGTACGATGCTAGTCCAAGCACTGCGTGCTACCCTTGCTTACCTGGTGACAAAAGAAAGACGACGCAGCCTATTAAAAAGAAATTGGTTAAAAGCACTTCGTATCTAGGCGAGTGGAAGGCATCACGCCGTCACCAATGAAAACGTAACAGAGGTACTAAATACTCAAAATACCGGACACCATGATTAACTAGTGCTACTGGAGCTGAAAAAAGGCGGTTCGCCACAATTTCTCAGAAAGCGGCCAGTGATGTTTGTGTCGCGGAAGCAGAGGACCCTAGAACTTTAAATGCCTAACAATATACTGTAACCTACGCATCACTTAGAGTGGGTTGTTTTCCGGCGTAATTCGTGCGAGATAATTATCTTGCGACAAACTTTGAATTCTACTTTTCATACCTTGGTTTGCATTTCCTTCGTCGGACGACAGTATCCACAAACAAACAAATAAAAAAGTAATCTGTCTGTATAAGCGATTACCTTATCTTGATTCAAAGACATATTGATGTGTGCTTCAGGCTCTCTACTAGTGTGAGTCAATGATACCATTTTCAACAGTGCGTACCTTCTGGTAGCTGCTGCGTCAATTATCCGAGTCCGCAATTGTTTTGGTACTTACTCCGAGCATCTATGGGACAGGAGGATTACGCCAGAGTTCAGGGGTAACTTGGCTCCGCCTGTATTGTAAACAAGTGCGGCCTCGGCGTTTGGCTTGGACGTTGTTTCCATCAAAAGCTCCATGCCGGCAAAATGGCGACCGCTAATGTTGCCTGACGAAGTTTTTAAAGGGGTCTATAATTACGGTGTTTATACATACAATACATATCAATTTTTGTTGCAGATAAGAAAATGGTTGATGTCATTGAACCTTACAAAAAGAACGTCAGTGAGGTGATGAAGAAACCCGTCGGTTACTCCAAGGTGGTGCTGGAACAAGCTAATGAAGTATGCCGTCTCCGGGAGTGCAACCTTGGAAACCTCATAGCCGACGCGTACTTCGCCTTCTACGCGGATATGAACACGTCTTCTTCAGAGTATTGGTCCAACGTAAACGCCGCTTTACTCAACGGGGGCTCCATCAGAGCTCCACTTCCCCAAGGCGGTAAGTTGGAGCCTCAGTACCATACATTAGCAGTGATGATAATTACTCAATTGATAAAAAAAGTCGGATTTTATAAAGATAAATCTCTACACACTACGAATGGACAGTTTATCACACCAGTATGAGCGTGCGAATTAGATGATAACGTTGAGTGCTGCTCACCAATTAGAATACATTCACCTATAAACCGTCGCGATTTTATTAATTATTTATTGGGATGTGGAGGCTACTCAACAAGGCATGTAGTTGGGCTAAGTAATGGTACATACTGTTTGGTGGGAGCAGTGCCAAAAATACGTAGGACCAGGACTAAGAAACATACAAACCAGGCGCTGTCTGTGTGTTTCTTCCTCCCGGTCCTACGCCTTTTTTTTGCGCTGTTACCACCAAACAGGAGGCTACTCAAATTGATAAATAATTCAAAATTATATAGTAACACCCTTCAGTTCTTGAAGAGGGGTCAAAAAGTGATTTTAATATTTCTTTTAAACAGTGTTCATCGTCCCTGCATAGACCTAGCAATGGACACAATATTTTTATACATAGCGATAAAGCTTACTATTTTGTCCAAAATAAATTTACGAAACCGAAACTGACGTTCCACTTTCTCGCCATACACCTTATCCTACTAGTTGAGCAGTCCTGTGTTAATCCACAATGTACAGTCGTAGGGATAGCTGGGACACATGGCGACGAAGTCGTTGGCTCAATGGACCTTTTCCACATACCGACGGCACCAGGCGGTGGCTGCACGAACTAAAAATCGAGGAAGTAACCTACCTGCGCTACCTATCGATAATGGGAGCTACGCTAGCAGTTTCTTCGCTCTCTGAGCAGCGGCGCCTGCCCAACGCGACTGCATCCGTGGCGTCCACCCTAACGTCGTGTTTTCCTTTCCGTCGACGTTCTTTTTTTGTGTAACACAATTATATATATATGCTGCGGTTACGTGTTCTACTCGCTGATATACAGCCTCCTTTTGAATTTCCTCGATTTTTCGTTCCGACTTCCGCCGCTTGGCATCGGGCGCTCGCGCGTGCGCAGAACGCTTCTCGGAAAAGGTCCATTTGTGTTGTAGTCACGAGCTTTTGCACCTCACAGTTCTCCCTCCGACGAACGCCGAAACGCGTCAGCATCTCCGCCAGAGCCTCTTTGAGCGTCTCGCAAGAGGCGGGACGCTAGCACGCAGTGACGCTAAACGCTTTGGTATCTTCCGACGTCGAAGTGTAGCAAACGCGGCGCAGCGCAGCGCACACAGACACTGATTGGTTGCAGATGTCGAGTTCCTGCACGACGGCCAATGAAATGAGCGCGTTCTCAGCCACGCTGCGTTCGGTGCGCTCATCGTTATCCACTAACCATGACGTAACACGCAGTCCATACTTTAGTGGCCCGAAGAGAAGAAAATATCAAGGTTCCAAATCAGGCTTATAAGGTGAATGGTGGAGGACAGCCGAATGCAGAGGTTCCGGAAGTATATCTGATGCGTGGGGGCGACGTCGGGGCTCATGTCACATCGTGTAGTTCAGCTCTCTCTCTCTCTCTCTATATATATATATCTATATATATCACGGGTGGTGGGAGGGAAGGGGAGGAACAGATTTGAGTGGAAGGCACGCCCCCCTCCCTCCCCCCCCCCCCGGTTTAGAACCTGTGGGGGTAATTGCCCCCACTGCCCCCCCCCCCCCCCCCCCCCTCCCGGTTCCGGAGCCCCTGGTCGTATTAAAGTCGGCAATTGACACCTGAGTTTGATGCTGTTGCGAGGGTCGGGCATTGTCAAGCTGGAGAGAAAAAAAAGTTTTCATCGATTCCTCGTATGCCACACAAGCCGATAACGTGGCTCATTGGCAATGCACGAATTCCTATGCTGAAGCTCTAGGGCCAATTACCGGATTGTGGTGTGTCAATTTGCACGAATAAATGCACCGGTGCGCCGTCACGTGTCTGGTTTGGCGGCGGTGGCAGGATGCTTCGAGTATGACCGACCACGCAACTCCATCTCTACAGCTTTTGAAGTTTTACATATTTTAACTGAGTATCCAACTGTGCTCTTCTCGATTGTATGAGCTTTCTGCACTACACACAAACGGTTAAGATGTTTTCCCACAGTTTTTTTTTTTTATTTCCGCCGCTTGAAACTGAATTGCTTGTGACGCAAGTCAGACATGGTATGTTCACGATCTATTACAACCGCGTCGTTCGTTGAACGGCCGTAATAATATACACATGTGAGTAGAAAACACCAGTGCTGCAATTTGTAAATTTGCTTATTCTTATCTGTATCCTTGAGAGAAAACGATGTGGGGCACTACTTTGTTAGCAACCTTCGAATATAGTAACCTCTAAAAGGGGTTCACGTTTTCTGGTAACAATTTTTTTTTAATGTTTAGCGCATTTTTGCATTTAACACGCCTCAGTAATACGGGCTCTGGGCCACGCCTCAGGGCATCAAGATGAGAAACATCTTGAACACTTCCGTAGAGTATTGTCTACTATCTGATATCTAATCAATGGACACCGCAATCCCGCCGTGAATATGCCTATACTTCGTTTCACCTTAGGTGCGAGCGCGGCCGATGCTATCAGCCGAAGGGCCAATCAAACAGCGCAAAAAGCGCAGCGTCATGGCGTGATCTCTGCGCTTGATAGGACTAGCCGGCGGAGGAGCACGCACAGAGAGCAAATATCTGCTGGTGCTATCAACTATGGAGAGCACGGCATGACGTTGTACCTCTTTCGGTGTTTGATTGGCCCTTCGGCTCATAACATCGGCCGCGCTCGGACCTAAGCTGGAACGAGGTATACCATGCTTCCAACATCCACGCCGGTCTTACTTGGCTGCTTCCACATACTCTCATTCGCGACGACGGCCACTGGCCGACTACGGAGGATTGGCTATCATTTGCCGGTCAACAAAGGTGCCATGTCAGTGCCGCTGCACGTGGAAACGTTCCACTGCGCATCTGCTGAGAGCACGGAGGTGTCACATGTCAACCAAGATACCACCCGGCAGCTGCATATTAGAGCAACATCTGAGGCTACCCAGTTCTGTGGACACGGCAACCACACCGTGACTATGCTTAGAATGCTTCCAACTATCACGCAGGTCTTATGGCTCGTTCACACTTGCGAAATACGCATTCGCCGACGACTGAATTCGATCGCCGCAAAAAGATCGGGCCGTTCACATCTGTTGCCGGCTGCGGAGTGCGCGGCGGGAGCGTCTCGCAGTTTTCCGAACAGACGAGGGGGAGCTGACGAGAGGTCCCAAACCTCCTCCTCCTTGCCCGCGCGCGTTTCGTCGCCATCGTCGCCATCTCGTCAGCGGGGATCTGACGTAAGCAAGCGCCACTTCCCTCATGTGTTCTGATTGGCTTGCGGCGAGAGAAAAATTTTTTCCGGCGTTCAAAATTGGTTTTATGCCTCGTTCACACTTGCAAAACTGGCGGCCGGATCCGCGAGAATTCTGACGCCCGGCGACGAAAGCAGGCAGAATTTCCGGCGGAGACCAAGATCGCTCTGGGAGCAATTTCGAACGCCGGAAAAAGTTTTTTTTTCTCGCCGCTAGCCAATCAGAACGCACGGGAAAAGTGGCGCTCGCTGACCTCAGATCCCCGCTGACGAGCTGACGGTGATGGCGACGAGACGCGCGCGGGCAAGGAGGAGGTTTGGGAGCTCTCGTCAGCTCTCGTCTGTTTGGGAAATTGCGAGACGCTCGCGCCGCGTACTCCGCAGGCGGCAACAAATGTGAACGGCCCGATCTTTCTTCGGCGATCGAATCTAGTCGGAGGCGAGTGCATATTTCGCAAGTGTGAACGAGCCATCAGAGGGATCTTTTTTTTCGCCGGAAATTCTGCCTGCTCTCGTCACCGGGCGTCAAAATTCTCGCGGATCCAGCCGCCGGTTCACAGGTGTAAACGAGGCATTACGCGGTTCCCTCTACGTCATCTCAGATGCGACGACGACTACGACAACTGACCGACTACAAAGAATTGGCGGTCATTTGCCGGTCGATCAAGGTGCCGCGTCACTGCCGTTGCACGTGGACAAGCTCTACTGTGCATCTGCATGGAGCACGAGGACGTCATATGACAACCAAGAAACCGCCCGGCAGCTGCATGTAGGAACTTCATCAGAGGCTACCCAGCTGAGTGGACGCGGCAACCACGCCGTGACAGTGCCTAACTTGCTTCCAAAGATCACGTAAATCGGTGACCGTAAATACGGTTTTCCTAGTGAGTGTTTGTTTCTTAGTGTTGCCGTGTCCACGCGTAGTCTTGCAGTGTGCACATTATTGTCTGTCAGTTACAAACGTGTTTCTGAAACTATCCGGAGATGTCGCGGAAAACCCTGGACCACTTGCAGAAGAGCTGCTGGCGATAATAGTCGAAACTTGGTGCCGTAACAAAAATCACAAAAATTCAAGAGAAACAGACCTTCTTTGAAGCTAGCAACTTAATTGTGCAAAGCAGGGTTCTGGCATTTGAAAAAAAAAAGAAAAAGAGATTGGAGCTTATTGATGAAACCAGACAGATTTGCTAGGTTGGAAAGTTTGTTCAGCGAACGAAATGTATATATGAATAATCTATGGACGATCTAGAAAGTCGTTCACGAAGGAATAGCCTGATAATTAAGGGTATCAAGGGAGAACCACGGGAGAGCGTGGATGAGCTAATGATAATTGTGAATGATGCTTTATCGGGCATGAGATTGAACTCAAGCCTTGTGGGACTACTTTTCAGATTTTATGCAACTTTGTATTCGACACCTAATTTGTTCTCAAATGTTTAAAAGAAATTAAAAAAATGACCGTGGGTTTCAAGAGAGGTCATTGAAGCGAAGAGAAAGGTCATGCCAGTAAGGCGTGTTCACGAAGGTCAGATGATAGTAAAAAGACAAGTGTCAAAAAGACAGGTCTCTCGGGGCCTTACCATCTAGTTACCTTCATGGCTTGCGTCACGTTAACAAAACTTCAACTCGATAGAAGAGGAAGACATGGT